CACGTGGTGCCCGCGCGTCACGTGGGCGAGTCAGGTGACCGTGCGGGCCGGAGGACCGACTGCGGGGCGGACGGTGGACGCAGGGACGCGGCTTTAGCTCTGTCTCCGCCGACCCGGGCCCCGCCGCCGCCGCCATGACGGGGCTAGCGCTCCTGTACTCCGGGGTCTTCGTGGCCTTCTGGGCCTGCATGATCGTCGTGGGTGAGGCCGGGCCCTGCGGGCGGGGCCCGCGTCCGGGCGGAGCTGGTCGGCCTGGAGCTCAGCGGGGGCGGGGGTCCCGGGACGGCTGAGCTCCAGCGCGAGCTCTGTGCCCCGGGCTCCGGGAGTTGCCTCGCGCCTGTCGGGGCCGGTGACCCCGACGGAGGAGACCCGGATCTCCAGCTGCTCGAGGGGGGGCGCGGGCGGGGGTAGGTGGGGCCGCGAGAGCAGCCCTGGGCGCTTTCGGTCGTCGCCGTCACCGTCCGCCTCCCCGGGCGCGCGGCCGTCGTCCCTCTTGCTTCTGACCGGCCTGCTTGGGTCATGGGCCGGCTGCTCCAGTTCCTCTTTTTCTGGTCGTTGAGCTCTCCGCCCCCCCAGCTTGTTGAGTAAACAGCGGCGCGGACTGGGCCGGCGGGATCCGGCGGGGCCTGGCCCGAGCTCTTGCTCTCCCGTCCTCCAGGGTTCTCAGGCCTGCGAGGTGCTGCCCGGAAGGGTCTTGGTCTGGGAGGTGGTGGCCCCGAATGCGATGTTACTGAGGGAGTGGCAGAAATGGAGGCCCGAGCAGAGGCATCTGTATAGACAGCCGTGCTTTCCAGAGGGGGACCAGCCTGGGGACTTTCCCTTGACTTAGGTGTAGGCAGACCTTTGAGGAGGTGGCCCATCAGCTGGGCCGCAACTTCATGTCTAAGTTGGGGAGCTTCTCTCTGGAGAGCAGCCCCTAACCCCTTTTTTCTCACTGCTGCAGGGATCTGCTACACCATTTTTGACTTGGGCTTCCGCTTTGATGTGGCATGGTAAGGGAAGGCAGGGAGAGGACTCCCCTGGGAGCTGCTTCTCTGCAGCCTTCCTTCGCTGATTTGTGCCCCCTCCTCCACCCCATCCCCGGCTGCCTGGGATGTGGACCTTCCGGAAACCTGAAATCTTTTGTTTTAGCAACCAGTACTGGTGGGGTTGGAGGTGTGGAGGTTTGAATTTTGTGCCCACTTCTCCACCAAGGCTGAATTGCTTTCCTCCCTGTCTTCACACCAGGTTCTTGACAGAGACTTCCCCCTTCATGTGGTCAAACCTGGGCATTGGCCTAGCTATCTCCCTGTCTGTGGTTGGAGCAGCCTGGTGAGTGTTGGGGTGGTGTGATTGGGGGAGGGGGTGAGTCATAGCAGGTGGTGGTGTTGGATCCTTAGTCACCCTGGGGGCACTGTCTAGCTTGGCCTCTGCTCATTGGTTTCTTATCCTTACACCAGGGGCATCTATATTACTGGCTCATCCATCATTGGAGGAGGGGTGAAGGCTCCTAGGATCAAGACCAAGAACCTGGTCAGGTAAGTTGGGGCCCTTGGAAGGCTGTGTGAACCAGCTGCATTGGAAGCTGCCCATTTGTTTGACGTGACAGCTCCTCACCAGCCTCCTGATGGGGTGGGATGCTAGTGGGGGAAAGGTGACTGGGGACTCCCTGAGGAGGAATGTTGATTTCTTTCTCATCTCTTTTTCCTCTCAACCCCCTTTGCCCACCACTGTTGCTTCCAGCATCATCTTCTGTGAGGCTGTGGCTATCTACGGCATCATCATGGCAATTGTCATTAGCAACATGGCGGAGGTATGGGGTACCAAGGCGGGTTGAGCATCCATTCCAGTGTGTTCTGTACATTGCTTGGGGAATGGAGAGGAGCTTAGAGATTGGTTTCTGATTACTTCTCTGCCTTCCTCAGCCTTTCAGTGCCACTGACCCCAAAGCCATTGGCCATCGAAACTATCATGCAGGTAGGTGGGTATGTGAAGGGAAAAAGCTAGGGCACCTGCTTTCCCCTTTCCACCCTCAGTTTAGACTCTTTATTTTGATATTCTGTCACCTACTTTGGCCTGCTTTGCACAGTTGGGCTGGTGATTGGCCTCAACGTTCCCTTTCCATCCCTCCAGGCTACTCCATGTTTGGAGCTGGCCTCACAGTGGGCCTGTCTAACCTCTTCTGTGGAGTCTGCGTGGGCATTGTGGGCAGTGGAGCAGCCCTGGCCGATGCACAGAACCCTAGCCTCTTTGTGAAGATTCTTATCGTGGAGATCTTTGGCAGCGCCATCGGCCTCTTTGGGGTCATCGTTGCGATCCTTCAGGTGCTGAATGCTGGGGAGCCTCTGTCCTTGTCCCTAACCCAGCCTCACCCTCCTTCCAGAGGAGCAGCAGTGCTCCCTCCTCCACCTGTAACCATAGAACCCCTGAACAGCTTCCACCACTTCATTCCCATCTCCTGGTTTTCCCCTTTTGAAGCTTTCAATTTAGTTTTGTTTCTAATCTGGAAACACTGACAATTGTCTTGAGGGTTTTTTCTGTTGCTTTGTGTCTGTATGTTTCATTTAGTCTCTTTTTGTTTGTCTCCATGGGTTGAGATCTTGTCTGTGTCCAAATAAGTCTGTCTCAGTGTGTTTGACTGTTTAGCTGGGCCTGTGTGTATCTCTCCTGTCAGTCGGACAGCATGTCTGAATTGTGTGTGCCTTATCTGTCTGGCAGTGTGTGAGTTTGTGGCTAATGATCAGCTTGAGGATCTGAGGGTGACTGTGGGTGCCTGACTGGGTTGACTCTTTGTGACCAGCACTGTCCATATGCCACTTCTCTTCATCTATCTGTCCCACAGCTTAACTGTGGTGGTTTGACTGTCCATGTTCATCTGTGTTTGTCTGTCATAGCATATCCATTCTGGTCCAGTCATCCATCTGTTCATCTCACCATGAGTTTGTTAGGTCTGGTCTTCTGTCATTTGTCACTGTCTTATCTGTTTCTCTGTCTCTACCTGATTTTTTCTGTTCTTTTTTTGCAGACCTCCAAAGTGAAGATGGGTGACTAGATGATCTGTGTGGGTGGGGCCGTGCCCCACTCTTATTTATTTGTGGTTTTACTGGGACAGCTGGAGCTGTGCCCCTTTCACAGGGCTCGGTGTTCTGGGCCCTCCCTGCACTCACTCCTCGCTGCCTGTCGACTTGGAGGCTCTGCCTGGCTGGATCCTCAGTGTGGGGAGTGGGTTGCTGATGACTGTGTGCAGCTCTGCACCTGTGTCCCACCTCCACCCCCAGCCTGTCTTCCCAGTGTTTGTGAAATAAACGTGGTATTTGTCTGGATCAGTGCTGCTTTTGTTGCCCTCCTTCACCTTTCACAGAAGGGTAAACAGGCCTATAGGCCTCAACCTCATGCCAGCCTCTTGCCATTCATATCTACTGTCTCTGCACTGGACAAAGCTGGCTCCTGGGTGGGATGGGAAGGGTGCTGGGCTGAGGACTCTGTACCCCTGAACATCTGTATTGATGGGCATGATGAAGTCGGGATGGGGAGAGGTATGGGCCCAGGTGTTTGTGTGGGGGAGGATGGGGAGTGTCCTAGTCCTATGCCCTCGGGGCTCTGAAAAATCCAAATGACCTATCTCTGCCCTCAGGCATCCATCACTCCCTACCCTCCTGGGGCTTGGAGCTCATTCATTCATTTGCCTCTGCCTATCCCAGCACGCCCTCTGTCAGTGACTAATTTGATCCCGTGTTCCCAGGGCCTTGTCCAGCTCCTTCCACTTCTATCCAATCTAACCCAACCTCCTGTTACCCTAGAAGCCCCAGCCACCTCCAGGCCCTAGCCACAAACTTCTGTCCACGCCTTTAAGGGTCCTGCCCAACTAGGGGCCCCTCCACTGACCCCTGGCAGACCTTTAATAACGCTCCCATCAGTGCGTTGCCAAATCCCAAACCTCCCTGCCCTAGTCAGCCCCTTTGGCTGAGTTTGTGCTCCAACCCAGACCCCGCTCCTCCGTGATGGGTTTGGCTTATCCACACCCTCTCCGGTTCAGACCTCGAATCCAACCCCTTAGATGAGCCTTATCGACTTCTTACGCCCCTCCCGGGTCCTGTGCCACCTCTGTCCCTTCTGTCTCCTCGCTCCGCTGTGCTTGGCCGCGGGCAGGGGCGGGCGGCGGAGGCGCGCGGAGG